AAATGATGTGAGTGTAGATGAAGCTCAATGTAAGTGTGTGTGTCACTGTACATCTTCTCCTGATCCGTACAAGCCACCCACACCTTGATTCGGAAAGTACACGATATACGACTAGATCAAAGCAGATATTTATTGATATGAATAAATAATATATGTATAAATAAAATTAAAACTTATTTCCTCTGTTGATCTGAGTAGTCACCATTGGTGTGATGCGAAGAGTTTGTTGAGTCTTATAGTGTTTGAGATAGTAGTACATGAGCCGATAGGCAAATTCAACCACACTCAAGATGCTCAGACCGATCCATCTAGGCATAGTATTGAATAAATGTTGATTAAATTACAGAAACATATTTACTTACAGGCCTGTTTGCTCAACAATGGCAGAAAAAGTATCAATTATTGTCAATTTAGGTGCTTGTTTATACTCAGTAACATACTTACTACCACATGAAACTAGAACTTTTAAAGAATTTCGATCAAAATAGTAACCAAAACGTTGTGCAAAATCGTTGGGCAACAAAACTTGACCAGAATTTTTTTTGAACTAATAGCTTATATCACCGTTCACTTTCTCCTTTAGATGGGCCCGGTTGTGCACTGAGATCATTGTTGACATACGTATGCAAACATTGAGGAACACAATATGAACACCAAAATCTTTGAAGATTATTGCTAGTCAATAATTTTTGTTTAGCATTAATTATGCAAGTTAATTGATTAGTAAATGTGCCGGAGAAATTAGTCGAAATGAGTTGACCATCAAGTATGAAAACATTTCGTGCAAAAAATGGTATCGATAGAATGCATTAACATTGTGAAAAAATATAAGCCGGTTCATACAATTCCAAAACATAAAGATTCCGGAAATATTTTTTTTAACATTTCGTTAACTTCATTTCTATTGACTTGCTAGTAGCGATATTATTTTAATATGATCGAAAGAAACTGAACATGCTCAAATGAATCTATTGAATGCATGTTATACTTCCGATTCATGTTCCATTAAAATTAAAAAGTAATGTAATGGCTCGTTTTGTCGATACTCCTGGAGAAAAGCATGAAAGTTGGTGTCGTTCTTTCAAACAACAATTCAATTATAATTGTTTGATTCGTCGATTCCATGAATAATTTTTATCATACAATCTTAACATATTTTCTTAATTGCAATGTTTGCATTGTAAATATCTATCGAGTATTCGATATGAAAAATTTTATCGTATAAGCAGATCAAAATGCTGATGTAAACGGTTTCAACCATAAACATTCAGCAGGACATTCTCATTGTACTGCGTCTAAATTGAACACGTTCTACATACAGTGGCAAAGTGATTGATGGTAAGCGAGTAACTGCTATTTCTCTCATTCCTATTGAATTTCTTTGACGAAGAATATTCTGACAATTTTGTTTGTTTTCCAATCAACAATTGAAACATGGACGACGACAAATTTCTCATTTTATGTGGTTACCCTTTTTTTATGTTAATCAGTTTTCAAGATATGAAGCATGAAATTTTTACTAATCACCTATCCCTTCTGTTGTACGATGAATGTCTGTTAGAACAGGGGGGCGAATGTATTTGACGTTTTGATTACTTTTCTGTGATTAAACTGAATTTGAATGACACAAGATGAGAGCAGAAAGTCTTTGCATTATTTGCCATTTTTTTGTCATGAATGTACTAATCATAAGATAACACAGTTTTTTTTATATATACGTTATACTTCGTTCTATGCATATTGTTTCAAACTCTTGTCTGACTGTTATTGAAACATTAACTTTCTTAACAATTCTGCACTTTTGAAGAGAAACATTCTTCGATCGACTTTCATTAAAGTTAGTATGCACAATGTGTTTTACATACACTATTCTGTACACTAATCCTAACCTGTAGCGAAGTAAAAACATTCAGATCGGGAGACAATAATTGAAAAGGATCGTATGCCATGAACGATTTGTCTGATTTAATCTTTTAATGAATCTGAAATGATTAATCTTCAGTAAAACACATCCGAATATTAAATGAGAAAGACAAGCATGCATTTATACCATTATGAATTTTTAAATGTTTACAGCATGTTTTACTTTGTACGCAGACAGACAAAACAAAATATTCTATATGTCATATGCAGTGCTGAATAACTTCAATTCTAAGAAGAAGAAAAGAAAAACAGCTTTCAAAATGATTATCCAAGCAGTACAGAAAATGCGATTTTTATTGTCTTACATAATTGTTTTTCTTCGATCAATAGCAATCCTTATTAATCTGAAGCATTTGTAGATACATCTTTCTCATTGGTATGCATTCATGTTGATTGAGGATTTGCTGAAATAATATATTAATCGTATTCGACAACTCATGTCTCTTTTTTTTTTGAGATTAGAGATTTTATTAATGGTTGAATCTTTTTCAATGCCATTACAATATGTTCTTCGGAAAGAAATTTGTTAGCGATACTATCAATGAGATAAAAACCTGAGGTTGCCATGCGTATACTCTAATAATAAAGGAACATTGAAGCAGAAATAAGAGACAGATATAAACATTGTGACCTGTCAAATAACGAATACGGTCATGAAGAAAAGAGAATTCATCAAATGTTTTTTTTCTCTTATTATCTTTGATTAAATGAACATGAAAGTAGTCACATAAAAGCTTCTAATGAAATTTTATGTCAGTGGTTCTCATGGCTAGCTTTTCAGTAATTATTTTTAGGTATGTAACAGATTATGATTCCATGGAACAATCATCAAGGTTGTTTCGTTTCGCGTCCTGAGTACTTAGCCTTTTCAAAGATACTTCATTTTTTCCAAAAGTAATCAATTTGCTGAGCTTTCGTGGTTACTTTTACGAAATTTTTAAAATCTTTTTATGAAACATAATTCATACCAACAACATTCAGTTGATAGAACCTTTTTCTTTTTATGTTGGTACCGAAATTTACTCACAATAGATCTAACTTGATTTGGTGTGAGTATTGGCTTTTAATTTTTCGCTATAAGCTAATTTAATATGTTTGTAGATAATAAATAAAACTTCACTGAAAATGATATTTCAATTAGAAATCTGCTATATTCTCTTTGGTCTAAAATGACTTTTTTTGTCAGTCAGAACCATGAACAAAACTTGGAAATAAAATACTTTGAAATATTTTAGTGTCATTCGTAAGTAGAGCAAGAATATGTTTGAATCCATTGGAATGTAATTCTCTTCGACGATCTTGTTTTCGGCGAAGAGCATACTTACCAATTCTCAATGCCTAAAAAAAGCTCTCAAAAAAAAAATAGCGCTCTAATTATAAAAGTACTCTTTTATGTAATCGTAACGATGCTTAAATCAAAAAAGAGACTATGATGCTTTGATCTTTCAAACAAAAAGAATTAAATGTATCGAATAACGATTCCTAGATAGTTCTGGATGATGTAATCAATAATATAGAAATAAAGAAAAAATGAAAAACATTTTTCAGGCAGATAATAATAGAAATCATCAAAAATTTTAGCAAAAAATGAAATACCCGAATGAAATTTCATGTCATTTATGAAAGATCAGATGTCAAGCAATCTGCTTACACATTTGTATTGATTGTCATTTTTTTTGTGCGTGTTGATCTAAGGATTGACGAGTTCAGATAAATACATTTATCGATGATCAGACTTGATATTCGATCAGTAATAAACAAAAGAAAAAGACATTCTCAATCGACAATAATTTGGATTAAGTCATGAGAAGATTTGTGAAGAACAGGTCAAAAACCTTACTTTTGAAATAATAAACTGATGAATCAGTTTCTTTCATCGATTTAAGTTTCATAAATAAACCTTGTTCATGATTAATTTGACAATATGAATCAATTCATCTAGAATAATTAATCTGAAGCTAATTATTTTTTTGAAATACTTTGGAATTCTTCAATGGATGAAAATTTGTTACATTATATTTTGCATCGTTGAATAAGCAAAATCAAATCGAATCATAATTCAAATATTTAGGCAACAAGACCTCGAGTGCATAATAAATATATTTAAAAGTCTCTTTTGTTAAAGCTTGCAATGTGTAAAGAACATGCAAGACTAGTCAATTGTTTCAAATCCATTACTCTATTCACAATAAGTTGCAATAAATCCACTATTTATAGATTATATCCTCATGACCTCAAGGAAAATAATTAAAAAAAAAAGATGTTTCAAATATTTTCCGTTCTAGATAGTTGGCACACAATCATTAGAGTGATAATACAAAGAGAAAATGAAAAATTAACAATCCACATTCTTTTTTAAGATAACTATATAAAACGCAAAGTATTATATTGCAGTCACATTAGATAATATACTGGTCGAGTGACTACAGACATTGTTAGAATTAATCGTATATGCTCAGTTTCATGTGCAACACGGCAATTCTTCTAACGATGCTTCAGGCCATGCATAATTTTTCTTTTATTTCGGTTAAGAGAAATTAGTAAGAAAAGAAAAACAAAATCAAATACGCATTTTCAATCAAAATAAAACTATGTCATCATCATCAACAGTTCAAATAATTGTTTCTATCTCTCAATATATTATGATTTATCTTGGATTTTCTGTTTTATTGATGGGAACTATTGGTAACATAATAAATATTATCGTATTACATAAACTTCGACTTTTTCGAAGAAATCCATCTGTTTTTTACTTTACTGTCGAGTCTATTGGTAACTTAGCACAACTTCTTATTAATTATCCAACACGTATTATGATGGATGGATATACCATTAATTATACGAATATGTCACTAGTTTGGTGTAAAATTAGAGCATTTCTTGCTACAGTTCTGACTCTCATATCTATGTATATAGTGTGCTGTGCATCTTTTGATCAATATCTTTCAACACACTATCTAATCTATTTGAGACAAAAGAGTACCCATTCGTTAGCCAAATATCTTACATTTATCACTATTTTCTTTATTATTCTACATGGTATTCCATTTATTATTCTCTTTGATCTACCACCTTCAATGGTTTGTACAACTTATAATACAATATTCAGTCGATATTATTCATCTGTTTACTATCCTATTGTACAAGGTGCATTACCAATGATAATTGCATCATTATTCAGTTTTTTGGCTTTTCGAAATGTTCGCCGAATTGTTCGACGACAAATTCCAATTGTACGTCGTCGACTTGATCGACAATTCACAGCAATGGTTCTTGCTCGTGTCGCTTGTCTTGTAGCTTTTATTCTACCCTATGCAATCTATCGAATATATGTACTTAATATAATTGTCAATCAAGATCAATTTGTTTTATTGGCAATTAATAATAATCTACTGGCATCACTCACTATTACATTTTTCTATGTTAATTATGCAGTAAGTCATCTATGATTAATATTTTAATGATGCTTGTATGCATTTTTCTTTAAGGTAAACTTTTATATTTTTATGGCGACATCAGCACATTATCGGCATCAAGTAAAATATGTCATAGTGAAAAAGTTTTGGTTGCCATTCAAACACTGGATTTGTCTTCGATTGAGATGTGCGAAAGAACATCGTATTACACCCGAAGGAACTCAATCTTATAAAAATTCTATCGAACTAGAGTAATCTTGCATTGGATGTACCATTGTAAATCAAAACTATTCCATGCAATATTTCTCTATTATCAATACCAACGAATAAAAAGAACTACTCAATATGCCTGGATATTGTATGAGAGTGTGGTTGTACATCTTACTTTTACTTAGATCACCTACATTCATCTCCTCTAAGCATGAATACCATTGAAATGCAAGGTTTATTTTAAATAGAAGAAAACATCAAGTTATCAGTCGAATTAAAATTATATTTTCATCATGAAGAATTTTGCTCATTCCTCATTAGCAAAATACGAAACTTTATATATATCGTAGTTGCGTTGTTCAATGTTGTTTTTCACGATTAACAATGTTACAATGATATCTTGAAAAGATGTAGATAAGAGTTTATATAATTTAAGTAATATTGGTTAGTCTTGAAGTTCATCTGAAAATTTACTAATTATTGTGAAAATTAGTATTGCTTTAACGACGATTATATTAGTCATTGGTCTTATCAATAGTTCTTTTTCAATAATGACATTTTAAAGCAAATAATCAAATAAATCAGATTGTAGATATTATCTTTTAACTACATCCATTGTTTCATTATTTACATCAATTTTATTTTCAATTAAATTCTAGATGTTAATTCTTTCACAAATATCTTGTATTTCAATTAATTTTTTTTCTTCGATTATGTCCAATAATTATCGATTGACTTTAATGCTTACAGTAAGGATGAACATGAAATTTGATAAAAACAAAAGTAGACAAACAACTCGATGGATTATTATTGATATTTTTGTTAATTAATAATATTCATCTTTACTTGAAATATATAATTCATTTTTTTTATTCCATTTTTGATAAATCTTCTTACATCGATAATGATCATTGTTGTTGCTGCTCGAAAAAGTTTTAGAGCTCGATAACAACTAACTTATCAAGACCATCTAAAAAAAACAACAATTTCGTTTATACAAAACTTTTACTTGTCAGTTCGATTACTTTAGTTTTACTTGCTACACATAGTTTGTTAATATTATTTACATCTAATTGTATGAAATCGGCTCGAAATTCATCATTTTATCTTGTTGGTTACTTTATTTTATTTATTCCACTGTCTCTTACATTTATTGTATTCATTCTCCCTTCAAGTTTCGTACATAAAAGAATTTAATGAAGCAAATCGAAGACTTTGAATCCTTGTTCTACGAATATTAAACATTGTCTAATCTATATTACTTTATTTAATTATGCTTTACATCAGTTTATTATATTGTATTGTTTATATTAAAAGAAATGTTGACAGTACCGAAGAGAACTTTTTTTAATGTTTCTTATTTTTTTTTGCAGTATTCTTTCATGTAAAATTAAAAATAAAAATTAATCAGATGAAAATATAAAAATGCTTGTAAATGATATATATGATCTTCTGTAACCAGAATATTATTTATGCTATGCAAAAGAGTATTTTTGAGACAAACATTAATAATACGAGACATTAACAACAATCGCTAAAGTGATATATTCACAATAAAAATTTGATAATCAATTTTAACGAGATCGAAAATTATCATCAAGAAATCTTATTGTATAAAAGATCTCAATATAATTAGACATATTCTTTTTCAGAACGAATCCTCAAAATAAGAAACACTTCTAAAAAAGTTTGTGAATAATTTTTTTCAACTTGAAAAGTCTGTATTTCGGAATTCTTTTCAGTTAAATGGATGGATTAAACTGAAACGAAAGCAAAAAAAAGCTAATGCTTGAGAAGCTCTAATGATATAAGCTTCGACAAAAATTTTAGATCTATCCAAGACTCTGTAATGAAAAAATGAGATTTTTCAAAAAAAGCTGCCTTTTCCAAGAAATATCAGTTTTTGGAAAAACATCAGTTATTGCCTCTAGAAATTATGAATGAACTGAATTTCTTTTGCATTTTTATGTCTAAAAGTCTAGAGTGAATTTAAGTTCGAATACACCATCGGTTAAAAGGACTTTTAACGCTACCGAAGACCATCATTAAACGTGTCTTTTTTCCTTGCAATATTAAAAAAACTACGTAGAATATAAAATG